ATTGATATATCTTGAATTTTTCCTGGCATGTCGACAACAAATTTTTTTAAAAATATTATTGCTATAGGGCGATCCAATTAAGGCCCACCAACTTTACAAAGGAGAAATAAAATTATTTGCACACAATTTTTGTATAAAAAAGTTTAAATTTAGCTAATTTTGGTCTGAACAGTTTAGGTCAAATTGAAATATCCCATTCGCTGGTCAGTGGTTATACCTCCGGAACGCGTTATTCTATTATATCATGAAAAAGCTTTTCTGTTGGCTTAACATAAAATAGAACAAAATACCAAAAAATTTCCTGCTTGCCCATGCGGACAATTCGACCCTGGTTCGCGGACTTAGCAAATTAAATCGCAATCCAGAATCGATTGTACATTAATTTGATATGCCTCAATAATTTCATTCAAACGTTACTCCTTTTCAGAAAAACGTTTTATTAAATTATTAATGAGTTTTTCGTTAAAAACTTTTAACACATTAATTATATTCTCAGAATCAGGTTCTGCAAGATATCCAGGAATATTAAAAATAACTTCTTGCAATTAGTGTCCACATAAATGAGGTATATTGTTTTTTTGTTTATCCGCATCTCCTGATTTAAGAAATAAAGTAAATGATCTAAGCCATTTTTCCTGCTCATTCCGCAATAACGACTATCGCAGAAGTATGGTCTCATATCGTTCATATCGCCGCGTAACATTTGCTATATAGAAAAATGTCACATAACACTTAGTTTTTCTTCCACGCACTATCAGCTACAGAAAATTGAAGAACAAACAATTATCTTATCAATTTTCCTTGAAATAAATTGATTCTTTTATCGACGTCGATGTTACAACTTACTCACCCAATAAATAATAAGCATTAATTGTTTACATTTTTTGAAATTTCTTTCTCGAATTTGCCGCACTATCTTAACTCTTTGATGATTCGGGCAAAATTTGGGCTTATGCATCGCACTGCTTGGTACTGCCCCTGAAGAACCATTGGTTTCAAGTTCCAAACACCACGGAACCGATGATTTGTAAATTATAAATTGATCCAACACGATTTTCAGTGTGAATATACCTCCTATTTACAGAAGTAGGAACAAACCGTCAAACCAAAAACAAAATTGCTACACCAAGTATACACTCGTATGTACATACTCAGCCAAGTTGGCCAGGAAAAAAGTTTCACTACTTCAAAGAATGTCGACGCCAAAATCTACTGAGGTGTGGACTGAGAGACATGTGGAAATAAGAAGCGTTCTTAAGATATTTGCATTACATTATTAAGTATGTACATACATAAATTTATATTGCATTATTACGAGCTTTTTCAACTCCGAGCTCCACACTATATACAAACATATCAAGCTGCTGTCAATAATAATAACAATAAGTTTTACTAAGTTGGGTGGCGGAAACAGTGAACCGTTTTACTACTTCATGCACGAAATCTGGATTTTCGTTATTTCTTTCGACATTACAATTAAAATAATTATTAAGTACTCCTGTAGTACTGCCTTTAAAAACACCAGAGCAGAAGTCATGAAGACACCCACGACGATGGGTTATTCGGATTCAAAGTATTTTTAAGAATATATTCATATATGATATTTTAAATGATATCAGGCTATCAAATAAGATCAAACTGGAAAGAGCGGACTTTAAATTTTTGATTGGCCATAGGGCGTGACAGCTATCGCGGAAATCAGCAGCGAAAAAATTAAAACATCTTATCTTTCTCGACGTTCTCCTGTACAACGCACAAGCTGTCAGGATTTGGTCACACAAGATCCTATACTTTACGTATCCTCAGAGTAGCATGTGGTGATCTTCACCATTCTACCAAGCGCCCATTAAATATACAAAAAAGTAGCAACTGCGGTGGCAATCACACCGCTGAATAAAGAGGTTTCCCGGTTTACAAAGATTTAAAATCTAAACTAACTCAGGGTTTACAAGCCAAACGGAACCAAGTCCCATATACTACTTCCATTCCTAGACCTTCCAATCTACCCAGCTCAAATACTCGCCAATTGACATATGCCAACGTACTAAAAGCCAATGAACAGGCTCCACCAGTCAGTCCTTCCAGTACTAGAGTTGAGGCCATGATTATTAATCTAACCCAGTGCATGACACAGTTTATGTCAACCATGCAAAGTATGGTTCAAGACCTTATAAAGGCGCAAACCAAATGCTCCAAGCCTTGTTGACCAAATGAGTGAGCTAAGGTGCAAACCAGCATAATTTAGCGCTCAAATTATTTTTACAGATTCACGAAATTTATGTTGCTTTCATCCTAAACGCATCTCACTGATAAGTATAACTTTTATATCCCTGTGTTTAAGTTGTATAATATAACACAAATTACTCAGATGGCAAAGCACATGGTGGTACGGCTATACTCATAAGGAACCGTCGAAAGCACAATTTCCGCAGTTATATAATGGGATCATAAGCACCAAAAATAGATAGGATTTTATCTCACCAAGACAACCAACTTACTGGTCTACAGACGCAAAAAAGAAAACTGACTTTATTGACTTTGCAGCCAATAAAATCGTAGATAGGAGTTTAGTATTTGCCGAAATCTGTGTTGATTTATCTTCTGATCATTCCTCAATAACCATTAAATTAAACGAACAAGCAACTGAAAGTGAGCACGTTTTTCGACTTATTACATTAAGAACTGACTGGCTTAAATACAAAAAATACATTAAGACACATATACAGACCAATCCGGAAATATAGAGACAAACTGATGTTAAAAACGAGTTACTTTTGTTCAACAGTATGCTGGCAACAGCAGCAACCATAGCCACACCAGAGCAAAAAACAAAAGCAAAAACAATGGTCCGAAATAAACGACGTTTGCGTCGCGAATGGCAAACCTATCGATCTTAAGATGGTATTAAGATACGAAGAAGAAAGAAATATTGAAAATCTTATAACGTCTTTGTCTTAAAAAGTTTCTACAAAAAAAATCTCTATGGAAAGCTAGCAAAAACCTTAAACCACCAGTAAGAACTGAAGAGCCGCTGAATCTGCGCAATGGTTCTTGCGCCAGAACGGATGACACAACGGATGAAGAAACGGCGTCTTGTTTTGCAAAGCAATCAAATACTGCTACAAACAGTGCACCTTTGTCACCAAACCATACTGCACTGCATAGTTACACTGTTACTTGCGGGGCATCTGTGTCTGAAATAAGAAACATTATAACATCTTAAATCCTAAAAAATCTGCGTACTGTAAAAGAGTTGCCAAGTATTGCTCTCGTTTTTCTTGCAAAGCTTTTCAACCCATTTTAATGTTAGGATATTATCCACAAATACGTGTATGGAAGAAGTCGCAGGTAATTACTATAGCGGATTTGCGGATGTTGCTGCTATACTAAGTCGACATAAATACAGCCACAAAAGTTATAGAGCAGCACCTAAAACCAATTGAAGAATGGCTGGCAAAATGGCGCTTAAAAGTTAATGAAAATAAGTAACACATCACTTTTACATTAAGTCCAAAACGTGGTCCAAAGTCAAGCTCAACTATATTCTTATCCTAAAAGCTGACGAAATCACATACCTTGGCATCCAGCTTAAATTTTCCAGTTTATATTGGCTTTTTAGCAAGAAGTCTGGACTTAGCCTTGAAAACAAAGTCCTTCTTTATAATGCGACTATAAAACCGATATGGACGTATGGAATCCAGTTGTGGTGTACAGCTTTCGCGACAAATCTATATACATATAATACAAAGATTTCAATGCGTAATGAAAATATTCACAGAGCACAAATATACGCACAATCAAGGAAGAGATAGAAATCATTACACAGCGTCAAAATAATGGGGTACCAATCTTATCATATTTGCCGCAGCTGGTGGGACACTAGAAGAAGAAGAGTTTGTTGAACACTACCTTTGTCACTGTTCAGCCTTCTCATCTGAGCGACAAAGTTTCTTAAGAAACGGCGTAAGTCAGGAGCCCCACAGCGGTATCACAATGGTGCTACTGTCCCCACTGCGTAGGCCAATGAGTAACAGCCGCATCAACTCAACTTAACTCATGATTGTCACCTATCTCCCATTAAACAGCTTTTCCATCTTTTGGCATTTCGTGGATATATTTCCTATGTAACTACGGCCTTTAGTGGTCAAGTCAGATCGAATGATAAGAGTGGGATGGGCCCGCATCAAAAATAATTATTCACTCATATCCGTCCACAAATGTAACTGTTGCAGCAATACGATTTTCATTTTGATAAATTTCAGTGTTTCCAGGAACTCTTTCATAACATCTGGTGATAAACCTCTGGGTTATTTTAGTGCTTAACAAAAGCGTCCTTAATAGCCAAATGAGTCAATCTCTCAATATAATAAGCCTATTACTACAGAGATTCATTGAGTTTCGGTTGCACTTCTGCAGCTCTTTCTTGTAAATTTGTCCACTGTGCTCTTAAGATACCGTCTTTATCTATGGCTCGCAATGGTGAGTCATTATTATCCCACTTATATTCAGGAGTACTCCGCAAGACTTGCGATGCTGGGTCCTTCAACGCAAAGTATAGAGAAGCGATATTTTTCGCAATGCCGTACCCGTCTTCTCGAACTGAAGCTGAAAGACCTGCGGTTTGACGATTCAACTAAAAATTTTTCTAGTTTATTCTGTCTCCCTATAAGCCCTGTGCTGCCTTTCACCAAATTTTCCTTTATTTAATTTTCCTTTATTTACGGGATTTTTCTTATCGATCATCGTGTGGATTCGTCTCACGTATCATTTCTTCTTCTTCTCTACTGAAGTAGACACCGTTAACGCGGCTATAGTCGAGTTAAAAACTGTGCGAAATACATTCCTGATTTTCGCTGTTTTTCGTCGATACAGTCCTTTTCTAACTGATCTTTCCAACGGAGTGGAGGTCTTTCTGGTCATCTGCTTCTACCAACGAGTTGGGTTAGGTTAGGTTGCGGTGGCTACCGATCTAACAGACAGGATTCACTTAGGCCTGACTTAGACCCATTGTGATATCACAAAAACTTAAAACCATCATTAGATGCATGACTTTGACGTCGTTTGTCGCCTCTCGTATATCGTGGTCTCTTCTTATGCCATTTCCGAAATGTGTACCTGTGGGTTCCCTCTGTATTCATTGGCGATGTCATCGGCGTAGGCAATTACTTTGCCTCCACTCCATTCTGTTTGCGTTAGTAACGAGTTTACTGTGCGATTCCAGATCTGGATACTTGACATCCTTCCCGGCTCGTGCTTATAACCCTGCTTAGTAGCAGCTGGTTGATGAAGTCCACTAATTGAGTGTCTACATCTAAACATAGAAATGCAGTTGTAACTGCGCTTGGTAAGATGTTATTGAAAGCCGCTTCTATCCAGGAAAGCAACAAGACCAAATTCCTTGTTGAAGAGAGGATTTTCAATGAAAGTAACAAGACCGAATTCCTTGTTGAAGAGAGGACTTTCAATGAAAGTAACAAGACCGAATTCCTTGTTGAAGAGAGGACTTTCCATGAAAGTAATTAGTCCATGTAGTGCAGTTTCTGTCTATTTTCCCTTTTGATAGACAGCAGCCTCCTATCAATGGTTTGAGAGAGAGAGAGTTAACTATGATCCGCTCTAATGCTTTTAGCCCAAAGGAAGAAAGACTAATGGGCCTGAAGTCCTTAGGGTAACTATGAGTGATCTTACTTGCTTTGGGGATGAAGACGGCTGATTCCTCCATGTCTGTGGTATGTGATTAAGTTTTAAACAGGATACATATATAGCTCCAAGCTGTTCTGCAGCTGTGCAGAGATGATGCCGTCCGGTCCAGGTGCTTTATATGAAATATAGCCGTTAATTTTTCACTACATAGTGTTAGATCTATGACTTCTTCAGGGTTTTTATTAATAAATGTTGGGGCTCTATTATATATTACTAAATCTGTAAATAGGAGACAATTGAAAAGTGACTCACGTCTTTCGTTGATGTTTATACTGCCCCATTGAGTGTGGTGGGCATTTGAATCGCTTCCGATTACTAAGAGCTCATTTTTGCGTTATTTCACGAGGTTTCGAATGTGAATGTGATGTGAGGAGGGTTGATGGCGTCATACGGTATGTAGACTGATGCAAGCCTAATCATGCTTCCCTCTAAATTGGCGACAACTCCTGTGACATCGCCATCGCTGTAATTAGGAATAGATAAGATATTTATGTATATCTGTTTTCGTTAATATAAATGACCTTAAGTTACTTTCGTTATGCGCTAGAACGAGCTTGTAATCGATGGCACCCAAACCACATACGCTTGAGTTTACCACACAAGGTTCTTCGATGAGGATCACCTCAACATCGCCTTTATCAAGGCCGCTAAGAACACCTTCTAAGGTTCCCACACCCTTCCCCCCACGTCGCTATAAAGCAGCTCCTCCTCCATATACAAGCCTCGTAGCGCCTCTGCAAGGTTTGGCTGAGATTAGACATCACTCTCAGCATCAGAGAGTTCCGGCTTTTGCTCAGGTACCTCTAGGCCTACCAATTCCAGGGTTATATGAAAAGAAAATTGTTTTGTGAAACGTCCACTCTGTAACAAGCAACTATTTACCATGACTTGCGCCCGAGCCCTCCTGGGGATAAGTAACCGCTGAAGCGATTTTCGGCCGAGCTTTTCATCAATTTGTTGAAGGCGTCTAGATGTTTTTTCAACAATGGGAGCGGAAGCCGCCACATGAGGGACATTTCAGAAATATCCTCGGAGAATTTGACATTAATTAACTAAATTTGTTTCATATTTGCGTGTTGGCCGGACCAGGACTCAAACCCTCAAAGCTAATCACTCGGCTATCGGCCGTCAATTATAACAATTAATTTATTTGAAATTGCAAATCGAAATGAGAAATTCCGAAATTTATGTTAGCTTCCAGAGCAGTTGTATAAAAATTTCGAAAAATGTTGCGACGCGAGGTGAAACCAAATTTTTTTTCGAATATTTGCACACCTATACAAAAACAAAACTGATTAATGCGTTCTGCTATCAATGTGGAAGAGAGAGTTGCCCTATCGTCGAAGTTCCTCCCACCTCGGAATTTAGTTTTTGAGCTCAAATTGTAGATTAATGAGTGCAGTCACACAGTCAAATTTTTATTTCTGCAACTTTTGTTTTTGTTTTATTGGAGCAGATACCGCTTACGGGATTTTGGCCGATATAACAACATTGCGCCATTCGTTTCTTCTTTTTGTGGTTTGGCGCCAATTCGAAATACCAAGTACCGCAGCTTCTTGATTCGCTGAACTACATCAATGTCGCCGTATAACTCGTACAGCTCATCGTTCCAACGGCTGCGATATTCGCCGTTGTCAATGCGCAAAGGACCATAAATCTTACGTAAAACCTTTCACTCGAAAACTCCTAGCGCCGACTCTTCCGATGCTGGCGTTGTCCATGCTTCCGCACCATATAGCAGGACGGGAACGATGAGGGACTAGTAGAGTTTGGTTTTCGTTCGCCAAGAGAGGACTTTACGTTTCAATTGCCTACTCAGTCCAAAGTAGCACCTGTTGGCAAGAGTGATTCTGCGTTGGATTTCAAGGCTGACATTATTGTTGGTATTGATGCTGGTTCCTAGATATACCACATTATCTACGACTTCAAAATTATGACTGTCAACAGTGACGTGGGAGCCAAGTCGCGAATGCGATGACTGTTTGTTTGACCCATTCGCCTCGCTTCTTTATCAAGCCTGGAGAAAGCAGAATTAACGGCGCGGCTGTTGCGGCCGATAATGTCAATATCATCGGCGTACGCCAGTAGTTGGACACTCTTATAGAAGATTGTACCTTCTCTATTCAGCTCTGCAGCTCTGACTTAAGGATCTGCTGAATTCTAATTGCAGCGTCTGTTCCCAGAGGTGCGGCTGCGAGCGGGCGTCGGTCTTGAAGCAAGCGGCTCGCTATATAAATGTGAAACAAAAACTTTAAATTTTTGCAGAAACTAGTTTCAGAGTAGTCAACAAATCAAAATTGATTTAAAATGAAAACAATATTAATACTTTAATATGAAAGATATACTACTAAAATAAGAGTCCAACTATGGTATCCACATTTGTTATGGTATGTTGCTCATAGATGAGAATGGTGGCAGTGTAGTGGAATTTTCGGCCACATCCCACCGAGTCCATGTTTAGTACAATGCAAATTGATTTTGGATCTCTTAATGCTTAAAAGCCAAAAAATAAACTGCATAAATGAACGGATTCAAGATTAACCGCCAAAATAAACAGCTGTTACAAAACTTTCTGGCTATTTTTTTCTTAATCCGGCTCGGTGAAAACTCAGTAAATTTCTTATTCTCGCAATTTTGTTACTGGCTATTTTTTACTGAAATTTCTCAACGAACAGCTATTAAGTGACTGGCATAAAAGTGTACTAAGCAGAATTTCTTTAAACAAAGTGGTTCGAGATGAATGTGTTACAACTTATGGAAGCCGATAGAATAGATGTCGCTGCCATTGTTATTGAAATTGGTGCTTGTCCATGCTGAAAACCAGTGCCTATAAAACTATCTGATTAACCAAAGCAGAGAGCAATCAGAAAATGTAAATTATAATGAGAAGTGGCAAGAGTTAACTGAAACCAGAGAATGTATAATAATTACATTAATAAGTTATAATAATAATAATAATAGGTTATTATACATTCTCTGCTGAAACCTTCGAATTTATCGCTTGCAATAACGATTATGCGATTATCGTGCGACACTTTTACTTGGCTACTTAACATTTACCGCCAACATCTTGATATAAATATCACATATCTACATACGAACAAGTATATCAAATTACTGTTCCTCCAACAAATGCTGAGCAGCATGCCGCTCTATATGGGTTATGGATGGACGATGGATACAACCGCGGTCAGAATCTTTAATAATTAACTGAAACTAAAAGGTAAACGATTTGCCCCTTTAAATGAGGAAGACCCAATGGGTATTTCCACAGTCGGTAATGCCACACCTCCACCAATCTAGATGCGGGTGCGCAGTTCTAATTTACTCGTTACTAAGATAGGCAAGGCAACATAGACGAAACAATAATGCAAGTACATAGTGAAAAAGATTTTCGTGAAGTCGTTGTGTTTCTTTCAGCAAACAACAAGAGTTGCTACTCTTGCAAGTTGAAGAGTAATTAAGGGAATTGAGGCCACTTTGGGCTCAGCTGATATAAAAGAAGCTATAGAGGAGCAAGGATTTGAAATTAGGGCGGTCGTTAAAATTAACAGAAATAAAGTGCCGCATCCTATGTTTAAAGTGTTCTTATCGCCGAGCTCAGCTCGACTTAAGAAAAACGAAACGGATGCAATTTGCGGTTCAAAATACCTTGTACACCGAAGAATCACGATGGAAGAAACGCTCAAGCGTAATGGTCCCGTGCATTGCACAAACTGTCAGAATTTGGTCACACAAGATCCTATTGTACGTTACGTATCCTCTGCGTAGCATGTCGTGATCTTCACCATTCTACCAAGCGCCCCTTAAATAAAACGGATGCAACACAAACAAGCGTAGCAACTGCGGTGGCAATCACACCGGTTTACAAAGATTTAAAATCTAAACTTGCTCAGGGTATACAAGCCAAACGGAACCAAGTCCCATATACTACTTCCATTTCGAGACCTTCCAATCTACCCAGCTCAAATGCTCGCCAATTTACATATGCCAACGTACTAAAAGCCAATGAACAGGCTCCACCAGTCAGTCCTTCCAGTACTAGAGTTGAGGCCATGATTATTAATCTAACCCAGTGCATGACACAGTTTATGTCAACCATGCAAAGTATGGTTCAAGACCTTATAAAGGCGCAAACCAAATGCTCCAAGCCTTGTTGACCAAATGAGTGAGCTAAGGTGCAAACCAGCATAATTTAGCGCTCAAATTATTTTTACAGATTCACGAAATTTATGTTGCTTTCATCCTAAACGCATCTCACTGATAAGTATAACTTTTATATCCCTGTGTTTAAGTTGTATAATATAACACAAATTACTCAGATGGCAAAGCACATGGTGGTACGGCTATACTCATAAGGAACCGTCGAAAGCACAATTTCCGCAGTTATATAATGGGATCATAAGCACCAAAAATAGATAGGATTTTATCTCACCAAGACAACCAACTTACTGGTCTACAGACGCAAAAAAGAAAACTGACTTTATTGACTTTGCAGACAATAAAATCGTAGATAGGAGTTTAGAATTTGCCGAAATCTGTGTTGATTTATTTTCTGATCATTCCTCAATAACCATTAAATTAAACGAACAAGCAACTGAAAGTGAGCATGTTTTTCGACTTATTACATCAAGAACTGACTGGCTATACATATACAGACCAATCCGGAAATATAGAGACAAACTGATGTTGAAAACGAGTTACTTGTATTTAAAAGTATACTAACTAGTATAACAGCAGCAACCATAGCCACACCAGAGCAAAAAACAAAAGCAAAAACACTGATAATTACTGGTCCGAAATAAGCGACGTTTGCGTCGCGAATGGCAAACCTACCGATCTCCGGATGCATCTTAAGATGGCATTAAGAAAGAAATATTAAAAATCTTATAAAGTCTTTGTCTTAAAAAGTTTCTACTAAAAAATCTCTATGGAAAGCTAGCAAAAACCTTCAGCCGCCAGTAAGAACTGAAGAACCGCTGAATCTGCGTAATGGTTCTTGCGCCAGAACGGATGGCGAACCGGTTGAAGAAAAGGCGTCTTGTTTTGAAAAGCAATCAAATACTGCTACAAACAGTGCACCTTTGTCACCGAACCATACTGCACTGCATAGTTACACTGTTACTTCCGGGGCATCTGTGTCTGAAATAAGAAACATTATAACATCTTAAATCCTAAAAAATCTGTGTACTGTAAAGAGCTGCCAAGTATTGCTCTCGTTTTTCTTGCAAAGGATATTATATACAAATATGGAAGAAGTCACAGATAATTATGATAGCTAAACCAGCTAAAGGCGCAACCCTGCCGTCATTATATGCTGCTTTTAAAAATTACTCCTTTTCTCCACCAAAATATTATTCCTACACATCAATTTTGTTTTTGGGAAAAACACGGAACAATTGAACAAGTCAATAGTATAACAAATGAAAAAAGGAAAGCTTTCGAATTTGAAGTGTATTGCTCGGCCGTGTTTCTTGATGTGGCGCAGCATTCGACAAATCATTACCTAACACTTTCCACAATATCCTTGAATCCTACGTAGCCAATAGGCGATTCACAGCAAAAGTAAATGAATATATAACGAAGAGTATCCAATCAGGGCAGGTGTTCCATAAGGTAGTGTACATACAATATTGTACCTACTATTCACCGCAGATATTCCTACAAGTGACGAAGTAATTACGTCAACTTTTGCGGCCAAAACGTGTCCAACTGTTAAGCTCAACAATGTGCCGATTCCGCAAGCTGACGAAATTCCAGACCACGGAATCCACTTGGTCAGGCGCTTAACCTGTAAACACATTGCTTCTAAAAAGCTGCAGCTCAAACTCAAATCTGCCTGTTTACATTAGCTTTTAAACAAGAAGTCTGAACTTAGCCTTAGCAACAAAGTCCTCTTATATAATGCAACAATAAAACCGATATGGATATATGGAATCCAGTTATGGGGCACAGCTTGCACGAAGAATATAGATATAACTCAAAGATTCCAATCGAAAACGTTAAGTGTAATAACGGGCGCACGTGATGAAAACACCCATAGAGATCTAAATATACCTACCATCAAAGAGATTTAAATTGCAGCACAAAAATACTTAGTAAAACTGCGTAACCATCCGAATCTTTTGGCTAACATCTTGGCCAATGCAACAAGTCAAATCCGCATGCGAAGAAGAGACAAAGCTGCCCTCTAAAGAGCTACGTCACTACTACTAAGGTTTTATGTTTTAATTTGGTTTAAGATTTTATTACTTATTGTTAGGCTTCCGATGTCGAAGCAGATTCAATAAATAAATATTAACGTTAAAAAAAACTTACTGCCTTTTAGTTGGATTTCAAGTTCATAAACAACGTATTCAAATACATCTGGCGTTTATCTATATATGTAGATTCCGTAACCCAGTAGCATTCAAGTGGAAAGGCGTTCCAGTTATATCCGTTGATGAGAGGTACGGTACCTCCTCATCTTGGGATAAAACGCCTGTTAAATACTCAAATGGCATTTTCGATAATGTCATTAATATAAGTACTCTGAATATGAAAATTATTGTTAAGTCACTTTAGCGATCCGAAAATTGATATAAAGCAATAGAGAATCTCGCAATAGATAGATTATTTTATGGATTTTAAAAAATGTAGTCAATTTGTAGTGACAAAAGTCTTTCACCAAGCACTCATAAAATGTCAGAATTTTTGTAATTTCTCGACTTTTTCTGGAAGAAAATTTTAAATTCCTTCCTTTACCTGGCTTTCTTTGTCCAAAAGTTAAAATTCAAATTATTACTACAATATAGAAAAACCAAATACATACAATTCAAAGTTCGCCCCAGTGTTCTTTCTTTGTCTAGAAACGGAACTTTATATCGAAAGACTTTATACCTTTCACGGATATATGTACGGACATACATAAATTTGAGTACATAATTTAACATTTTCGATTACTATCATGAACATCATCATCCTCTCCCCAGTAGCGAAGACCTTCCATCTGCGTCCAGCAGCACATCAGCATGGCACAGCACCACAACAGGACTAAACGCCATAAACATCCAGATAGTCAATGGCTTTACCAAAACCGACCCAGCGCGCGAACTATCCTGGTGGCACTGGATTTGTCAAAAGCTTTTAACACAGTCAATCATTCAGTGCTACTAACGGACATTGAGAAATCCTGTTGTTGTTGTTGTTGTTGTTGTTGTAGCGGATTCGCTAACCCCGCTTAGGCACAGGCTTGAGTTAGTCTAAGTCGTCGAGGTCATCTAAAGGTAGGCCCAGGAAACGAGCTGTTTCGACGGGGTTGGACCAAAGGGAGAGGGGTGTTAGATGAGTAGGTTTGAGGGGGCATGTGAAGAGGTGGTTAGTGTCGTGCGGGGACTCTCCACATGCCGGGCATACGTTAGGTATGCTGGGGTCTAGTCTGGATAGGTAGGAGTTTAACCTACTACAATATCCAGACCTAAGTTGTGTCAGGGTCACGCGGGTCTCTCGAGGCAGCTCGAGCTCGTTGTCTGCTATGGGTGGTGGTATTTCTCCGAGTACGCCATTCACTGGAAGGGAGTTCATGAAGGTGTTAACTGACTC